TTTCTTCCTTTGAACAGCCTCTGTAGTTAAGAAGGGCGACACATTAAATCTCTGTAAGCAAACCACAAATTTGAAAAAAATCCGGAACAACGTGCCGCGCCAATTTTGGCAGTTTGACTAGATCGGCGGTTTATGACATTTTGGAAATCTTCCGCGAAATGATAATTTTTAACAACGAAAACTTGCAAAAAAGGGTTAGCTAGAACACTGTTCTCAAAAATGCATTATCAATTCTGCAATAAGGCTTGCGCGTGTTTGCTTTAGCATGGCTGGATAACTCTTCTAGAGTGCGCGGTAGTTTTGTGACCCTCTCTTTCATCCAACGCCTAAAATACAGTGATGCCCGGAACAGGTGATCTAGTCTGATTGGTGGAAGGTGTGTTAAGAATAGGCGCTCGATCTAAATTCAATCTATTCTGGCCTCACCATCGGTAATGCTGAAAGTCTTAGGGTGTTCAGAAATGACTTTATGGCACGAAATTAGCTGAAATAGTATTAGCAGAAGTATCAAAAGAATTACCTTTTTCTCGACTTAGTTATTTTAATTTGCGAGCAGTTTCCAGCCCAACCGAATTCCGCGAGTCTTGTTACTAAAACTCTCAATTTAAGAAGAACGTTCTTAACTCAGCTAAGATGCAATTTGTTTGTAAGCAGTGATTTCAAATGACGCGTTGTTTATTATACATTTATCCTCAGGTCTAGTTCACCCTATCTATTTCATTCAGTCATTTTGTATTTTGCCTCTGTTTCGCCTTTAGTCTGACTTTTGATCCTTTCCCTAATCTTTTTTCTATAGCTATTTGTTTTATATTGTGCTTATCGGCTTTCATTATTACTTTCAACTCTGCATCAGATCCCCACTGCAAAGTTAGGAAGTTTCACAGCAATGACTTCCTGATAAGAAAAATTATCATATAAACACGTTTCTTAAAAAGCGTTATTCATGGATATTCGTAGCCGTCTTCAACGTCTTTGGCAAAGAACATCTGACCTGCCGTTATAGATGATTGAATTGTCCACTTTCGAGTCCACAAAGAAACTCAAGTTTACCCCGGAAATTTCTTAAAACTTCTAGCTGCTCAAATACGCGTAGAAAAGACAGACGCCCTCCGCTAGCTTACGGAATGTGTTATTGTAAACAATTCCGCCATGGGAAATGGATGAGAATTTGAAACGAAAGCAGGGATAAAAACCAATCTGTCGTTCTTAGCTATGCACGGTTAGGTAAATGTTTTGATTTCCTGATCGAACACGGCGCTAACTTCTAGAATGTGCTTGGAATTCTAGGTGAAATGTCTAACTTCAATCCAGTTCGATAGAAGAAAAACGATTTTTTCAACCTTTGAATAGGGGAGTAATATCTACATCTACATGTATTTTAATATTCTTCAACGCTATTACACAAGAAGAGATAAAAGAATAAAAATATAATCCTAGCTGATAAAAATAATAAGTAAATAAATAAAATATGTCATTAACAATATAGCTATACTTAGAAATAAAAACTTAAAAAAATTTTGTACTACAAAAAGCTGAATAACTAAGTGATCTAGTTCCAGGTGATAAACAGTTCCAGTCCCTTATAGTTCTCAGAAAGAAACTTTACTTGTAGTAATCATGATGTACAGATGGTGGAATAAATGAATTCGTCGAATATTTTCTAGTTTCTCTAATAGAAAATTGATAATAAGACGGGAGAGGCGAAGCAATTATATTCACAGATTTATGGAAAATTTGTAGACGATGGGATTTTCTTCTCTCACTTAGTAAATCCAAAGATAGGAATTCCTTCAAATTGGACACGCTGGTGTTATAACTATAATCATGTTTAATAAATCTCACTGCGCGACTTTGGATAGCTTCTAGTTTCTCCACTTGATTCTGTCTAACAACAACAAACATATGAAACATATGTATGAACTGCGGTTATGAGACGAATTAATTTGATGGCGATTAATTTTATGAGATCGAATTAATTTGATGGCCTGCTCCCAGTTGGCTTGTTAGCTCAATTGGTAGAGCGCTGCACTAGTATCGCAGAGGTCAGTGGTTCGAATCCCGTACAGGCCTGAAATTTTTTTCAGGTCTGATTTTCACTATTGCTCAAATAGTGCTTTACTGCGAAGGATCGTTCACATATACGTTGATTCTGTCTATAAGGATCCCATACCGCAGACGCATACTCTAAATGTGGCCTGACAAGTGATACATGTGCTGCACGTTTGGTTTCTTCAGAGCAGACATACAAGTTCCTTTTCACAAACGCAAGTGAAGAGTTCCCCTTTTGAGCAATCTTGTCCACATGAGAGTTCCACCGCAGATCACTGGACAGCAAAATACCTAAATAAGGATGTTGTCGAGCAGATACCAGGGTTTGGTTGTAAAGGGTGTAGTCTTTAATTACCGGGGATCTACTACGGTAAGCAGACATTTTGTAGCATTTAGAAGGATTGAACAGCATCTGCCACCTATTAGCCCATAGGTTAATAGTTAATCTCAACATTAAGATTGAGATCTCTTGGGGATGAAATCAAGAAACTTGTGCGACAAAAACATCGAAATTATCTCCTTACACTTGAAGGCTCTTAAAAGGAAAACCTTAACCTATTTTGGAACTACCACAAGGCTCTCCTACACCACCGTTCCGTCTCGAATACTGAGATCACCTTAGACGGAAAAACGGCAAAGGTTTAGCCGAAAAGGCTGAGTTCTTCAAGTAATACATCAAAAACGAGTGCGAGTGTTTGAGCGTGGTTTCCAGACACCGAGAAACAGATGAAAGCAGGAGGCCGTAGGCCGAGTGCTTTTATTGTTTCGAGGTGTCTGGAGGCCCCCATTAAACACGAAGCACGAGGTTTTGATATGGCTTCTAAAACTATCAACACTTCTTTAGTAATTAGGTGGTAGTGTTTCAGTGCTCTAATTTCTCACGAGATTATGTATTTTAAAAATAATCAGAATGTGGGAAATTTGTTGTTGTTCATTGTAAGTCAATGAGGTAGTGAAGATGGCAGAGTCATTTGCAGCGAATACTGTAAGCCGTTTTGGTTCTCTAAAAACTGGGGAAGAAGAATCAAAGTTGATGCAAGGAAGCATTCCTATGGTCGACTGCCTGCAAAACAAAATTGGCGATTAAAATTTTTCACGAATGGCAGATAAATAGAAAAGTTAAAGTTCCTGTAGTTGATTCTGGTGGCGCTTTTAAAGATTATTGAGATTTATACAAAGTTCAGTCGTTGAGTAGATTTGGCAGATATGTATGCGAACGCTTTAAACTACTGGCTTAGTAAATTAGTCCAGGAGGTTGCGAATAGTGAAGGGAAGCTGTATCCAGCAAGAACCCTCTATGGAATTATCTGTGGCATCCGAAGGCATTTAGAAGAAACTGTGGGAAGCAGTCTTAAATCTTTTCGAGAAAACAAGTGAGAAAAAAGTTTTTATGTATCATCTTTGTTAGGAGCAGAAACGAAGACAGAAAATAAGGAAGAGAAATTAAATTGTAACTGATACGAAAAAAAAAACCCCAGAAGGGTTTTCATTTTTGAACACTTCTGCGTTCACGAATTGTGATGTAAAAATTTTTGTCAACTAAAAAAAATAACTGACAATGTAGCTGATTAACTATAATGATAAATTAAACTGGATTATTGTTTTTGTAATTTGTTTTGTTTTGATTCATAAATCTTGATGTCCAATGAGAAGACAGATGAAAACCACGGGTGGTTTTGATACGTGATCCAAAACACGTGTGGTTTTCATCTATGTTTTCGTTGGGTATCAAAACTTATGCACGTGACGAATTTAGCCATTTTTTACTGGCTATCAAACTTATGAATTCTTAATGAGTTCCAGAACGCTTATTTCTGCTCTGTGTTTACCTTATCCAAGCAGAATCAAGGGCGTACTTTGCAATCCTATCTCATATGAATAAAGATGGAAATTTCCGGGATCACGCTATCCATCAACGAGGTAAGAGATTGCTTGTCTAATCTGGATCCATCAAAAGCCACTGGCCCCGATGGAATTTTTATGCCCATTCTTAAAGAGTGCAGCGAGCAGATCGAGCTAAGTCTTAATGCCCTTTTCAATTAATCTCTACATGTTACCTGTTGATCTCAATTAATCTCTACATGCTACCTGTCGGATTCAGAGAATGGATGAAGCATGTAGATAACTTTTCCCAACGACGCAGCATTTCTGCTAATGTTACATTGGATTGCTAATGTTACATTTCTGCTAATGTTACTAAATCACTAGAGGAGCTAAACGGCTACTTCGCCGATTTGTGCATCGATGACGCATTTTCGAAGCCTGTACCAGCTATTGTGGGTAAAAGCTTAGAAGCCCCTCAGATATCAGAAAGACACGTGTGGAATTGCTTACAACATCTGAAGAAAACTGCTATGGGACCAGATCTCATTCCCTTTTTTAGATTTGGAGGGATCACGCTGAGGTCATTACAAGTGTCATACATAAGATCTGGAATGCTTCCTTGGAAACTGTCAAGTGGCCCTCCTCGTGGAAAAGGGCTCACATGACCCCCTCCCCCTTGAAGGTTGACACCCTAAGGGCAAGCAGGATTTCAGAGGAATGAAGATTACGCCTGTAATTGCACGTGCGTTCGAGAAATCTGTGTATAACACCCATGCACGAGACATTGTGTCAGTCATGAACTCCAGTCATCTAAGCTTGGGCAGTTGCCATTGAATCCCCTTATTGTGAACTGGTATTTAAGTTTTCTCGAGAAACGCCAACAGTGAGTATTTTATAACGGTTTTAAGGGACAGTGGCGTGAGGTTAATATGGGTACGACACAAGGTAGTGTCAGGGGGCCTTATCTTTTTAACGTGTTTATTAATGATTTGGAGTTAAATCTGGATGGTCGCCCAGCCTTGTTTAAATATGCTGGTGACTCTACAAGTATCGTCCCTTTTTGGGGAAACGGCCAGAGTCGCACTGATTTGGTGGATCAGTTTTTTAGCTGGTCCAGCTCCAATCGCATGACATGCAATCCAACAAAATGCAAGGAGATTATATTCCGTAAGAAAGGTTTCAATCAGGACATCGTGCCAGTTAGGGATATACCGCAGTGTGCAGAGTTATCCATATTAGGTATTACTTTGCAACAAAATTGTAAATATAGTAGTCACGTTCGGGCGAAGGTAATTAAGGCGAACAAGTCATTATTTATATTAGGATCTTCACGCAAGGAAGGAACGTCCCAGGAGGAAGTAGATCACCTTTTTAATGCTATAGTTTTACCAAATTTTTCTTATGCCCTGCCGGTTTATGATGCCTCAGACTCCGACCTTTCTATGATACAGAATTTTTTGGACCGGTGTTTGGAAAGGAAGTTTATGTCCAAGAATGTAGATATCAGGGATTTGCTAGAGAAGACGGACAAGGCACTCTACAAAAAAAGATCGATTGACCCCGAATGCCCGTTTTTCCAGTTTTTACCTAAGGTAAAGAACATGAGGTACAATCTTAGAAATACGTTAGTCTCTGTCCCTAGCTAGATCCACACTGAAAGGTTTAAGAACGTTTTTAGTAATAGGATAATTTTTAAATATGACTTGTAATAGTTTCCCTTGTGAGTTTATGTTGTAACTTAGGATATGTGATTTCATCTCAAGAAATAAAGATTATGATTTATGATTTTTTTGTTAGGCGATCTCCGTCAGAGCTGATCTTATTCTAGTTCATAAAGATGAAAATTACAGACCAATCTCGCTCCTTGTGAGAAAACGCTGAGTCTGTAACAGGCTTCATTCCCGCGTCTCGCAGTTAATTTACATTTTTACAACACGGATTCATGCGTTCCCGTTCGTGTTCTTCGCAACTTTTGTCCGTAATCCATTCAATTGGGGAGGCACTTGACAAAAACAAACAAGGGAATACGTTTTCATTTAAGCAGTCTGCGTTCAAATCATTTCCAATAGCATACAGCTGATTATCTTTTCACCTTGGATATTCAATTTTCAATTCAACGACAGGTTTCCGTAGTATCTCACCAATTATCAAGGATAATTTGCAAGAAAGACTTCTACGCTGAAAGAGATATTTCTATCGTTCATGGTGACCTGTAATAAAAATTTGGAATCTATGAAGGGAATAGATTGTCAAAGAATCACCTGTTACAATTAACAGGACTGAACGTTACTTCGGAACTTTCTTTGTGAATGTTATTAGAGACCCAAACCACGACGGCGACGGCAACGTGGACGCGGAAAAGAAAAGATCTAAACGGCAGAACAATAGCTCAGCACGTGCGTTTTAAGACTTACTACATTTTCAGCCGTACTTTGCAAAACAATGACGTGAAATCGCCAAAATTCGCGTCGACTGCGAACCGAAACTGCGACGGCAAAATATATATTTTCCATTTGAAACTCAACGCTACTTTTACACGTTATGTTGAGGTTGAGGTGTGGCGCCGTATGAGACGCCGGGTAAACACATGCAGCCATTTTCGAAATAAAAAGTTTAATTAAAAGTAGAAAGTCAATTTTTAATCGACGTCCTCCTTGGTGTCGCCGTCCTGACTACTTRGGGAAAATGAGGTTTACGCGAGTGATGGAATTAAGAAAGTAAGGTTTTCGTGATCGTTGCCTGGCAGGTGCTCTCACGACAAAAGTATCTCTCATTATGCGCAGTTACAAATAAACTAAAGGAATAACGAAGCAACTGAAATTTTATCAGCGAAATGAT